TAAATAGCAAACRGTATCAATAGCTGAGGTCTCCAAGTGATTTATTAGCAGTATTCTGAATAGATGAGCACTAAAATAAGTTACTAATTTACTAAAATCTTGTCAAGGAGACTGTGCTTCAGTAAGCCCTTTTATCCTGGAGCTTGTCTAAATGGGGACACTCAGGCGAGCTAATCTGAATTGACCACAGATGGGAATGTAAAGTGAATGAGATAATTGCATTGCAGAGTGGACAGTCACTCTCACTCACAGTTAAAGAATTAACATCTGCTAAGGGCCCCTTGTGGATGAGCCCTCAACAGTGATCTCTAGCCAAGGATAATTTTAAGATTAGAGTGTGGAAAAGGAAATATTAATACGATCTGAACTACGGGAGGGAAGATAGCCTTTTATGCACACTAAGAAAATTAATATTCATGTCTGAGCATGAAGCTGAAAGAGTTCATTTCTGCATCTTTTTTACTTAGATCAGATTATATTTGGCTGGTGAATCCAGCTCTGATTTCCCTTGCAATGATGTGGCTGAAGGGTTACACCCTGAAAAGCAATGACAATACTCAGTATTTGTAGCATATTTGTATGATTCAGGCTAAAACTTGGCCATAGCCTTTCTCTTAAAGTACTGGTGATACAAAGCTAACATTTAGAGATGTCTGCTTATGATAAACATACTGCAGTTGTGAAACAATTAATTTGCTATGTTATAAYGACCTCTCTGCATGCAGCTGATCTGAAATTATTCCCTGACACGGGAATGTATCCCCTTCAYGATGTTGCAAATCCACCTCCTCAAACAGGCAGATGCTTGAAGCTTTCTGGAAACCCAGGTTAGGCTTCCTTGGCTATTCCAAGGCGTCCTCCTCCTTCCTGCTCTCCTTCACCCACACCAGACAGACCTCATAATGGGGGACTGCCTGGCCTTAGATGTGAGCCCCTGAAAGCAGTGCCAGCCTACAGATGAATTTCTCAACAGGATGCAGTGAGTGCCTGGGGATGCCAGGGCAGGAGGCAGGCACCCACCATCTGCCTCCTTTCCTGTTGCTTACTAAGGATAGGCTCAGCTGGTTTGTTTGGCTTCTGCATAGTTGCAGAGAAATCACKGACTATTTGCTAGTTGTTGGAACARTGGCTCCTCTTTGAGACTAAGCTAGGCTGCCCTGGGATGTGGCTCACTCAGCAGAGCCTCTGAGGTCTCTGGGCACGTGCTAGCCTGTGAATTCATGCTTACTTCTACCATGAAAACCATTTAGACCAAACCCAGGGCATTTTAATGCAGTGTTCCTGACATCAGTAAAGCCTTCAACCTCTTTGGGCTGTTGATCTTGTCTGCTTCAGGCTGGAGCTACATCCACACCAGAGGATAACCGTATCCGGTGGTTTTGCAGCATTAGGGACACGTAGCAAAGAAGAGCAGAGACCTGCCAAGTCCCTGATGAGGTGATTCTAACCATCAATAGACCTTCCAAGTGCTACACATGGCATGTGACATAATTACCACTGTGGTGACACCCAGCTTAGGTGACTGCAGCACCTACTCTTCCAAAAGCATCACTCTCCCAATGCTCTCCACCACCTCAGTCCCACCACRGCCAAGGAAAGCTCAGAGCCACTCTGCTACAGAAGGATGAAAGGCATCTCCCAGAGCCATTTCAGCATTTCTGAGGTCTGGACCTTTGAAATGAACCTAGAGGCTTAGCAGCTTGTTTTCTGCACTATCATAAATCTCCTCAAGATCAACATCATGGCAAATCCTGATGAGGGAGATTTTTGTCATAAGAGTTGAAGTAGGCATCTAAGGAATGACTCATGATGATGAGGGCAGAGTGCAAAAAGTCTGATCTTCCTTTTCAATAAAAAGTGAAGCAGATATGCCTTTGACCCAAATTAAGACAGGTAATATATAGAAAAGAGGCCCTAAGCCCCTGAGTACTGTGGGGTTCTGCACACTGCTGTCTTGAATTGGGGCTTGCAGGCGCTGTAACTGTCGGCAGAAATGCAGGTGGATCAGCACTGCCTGCTCTTTGCAGAGGGTTTAAACCAGAAACCACCAGCCCAACAAGCCACAGCTCTGTGCCAAACTCCAGTGCCATTTGGGGCGAATCAACATGGCCTGAGATCTCACCTGAGACAACCTGCTCATCCAAGGGCATAGACAGCAGTGAGTGAGCTGCCTGCAGCATGAACAGAGACCACTGTGTCCTGCAAAGTCATGGAAGCCCTTGCCTGAAGTGTGAGAAAGCAGTATACAGACAGCGTGACATACGGTTTGGCTTGTGAGTTGCAGTTAAAAAACATCTAAAAGAAGAAATCCAGTGGCATTCACGAATTCATAGTTGTGCTTTAAAGAAAATGAGCAATACCCTTCAGAGTAATGAGTAATACCCTYTGGACACATTTTGGATGACTGCATATTTGAAGCCGCTGTTTCAAGTGAAATAACTGTTTCAATTTGCCTGAAATTAGGTGCTACCAGAAGTGGGAGTAAAGCACAACATAACTCCAAACAGAACACAAAACTATGATGTTTCCTTAGGTCAGATACATGTTGCTATTGGCAGCCAYTAGTAATTGCTGGAATGCAGCACACTGTAATAAATTAAATGTGATATTTGCTAAGCATGAAGACTTGCCATCTGGAGAGCTGCTGCTATTATGTTGCAGGTAAAAAGTGGTGTTTAAATGCAGGGAACTGAAGTGTCCCATATGAGCAAAACCTGGTAACCTCCAGCCCCTTTGATGCAATATTTGTTTAAAACCTGGAACAAGAAAATGCTCTTGACTTTTAAAGCTTCTTTGCAATAACACAGACTGAAGCGATGCCAAAAGACATCCCACAGGAGTAAGCTCTGTACACAGCATCTTTTTGTGGCATGCTACTGCAAATGCATCAAACGCCACCAAACTACTTTTCTTCTTGAGACAGACATCGGWCTCTGCACACAAGACCTTGATTCTACTGTTCCCACATGTTGCATCAACCCAGAGAGGAGCTGGCCTCAGGCTGGAATTTGCACAGGTCCTCTCCTGGTGTGCAGGGACAGCACCAGGGTGAGTGACCACAATGACAACTGTGCCAGGGTGCTAGCAACATGGAACCCAACAACAGTGGGGCAAATACTGGCTTGTAGGATGCCTTGGGTTGCTTATACCTGARTAAAAATCCCTGGAAAGCTGAAAAAAGAGCATACAAGACATATCCTCCAGAGAAGTCCCACTGGCTGGCCTAAGAGCTGTGGATTTCAGTCCCTGTCCTCCATCACAGGTTGATGTAGCTTTACGATTCAGGTGGTGGGACACACAGGCTGGMAGAAGTACTAAAGGCCTGAGAAATTCCTGGTGAGGTACACACATCCTTTCTCACTTTGTAGTTAACCCTGAATCAGAATCACAGAACTTTTTGGATGGGAGGAGACCTTCAAAGATAATCTAGTCCAACATCCCTGCCTTGGGTAGGGACATATTTCAGTAGATCAGGTTGCTCAAAGCCCCATCCAACATGGCCTTGAATGCTTCCATGGATGAGACATCCACAGCTTCTCTGGGCAACCTGCTCCAGTGCCTCAACACCCTCATAATCAAAAAATTTTATATGCCAAATCTCAATCAATTTCAGTATAAAACAGTTCCCCCTTGTCCTCTCAGAAAAGACCATGTTGAAAAGCCTTGCTCCACCTTTCTTGTAAGCCRTTTTATATATTGCACTCTGAAAGGAAGTTTAGGCAGCTTTTTGGGGGCACAAGCAAATGGTCTCAGGGCAAGAAAGAAAGAYAGCACTCTTTCTCACCAGCCATTTGATTTAAAATCTGATGGAACAGTCATCCTGGATCTGTATGACAGGTGTGGATGTCCTTGTTTCTGAGCCACTGAGAGCATGGAAGAACTTCTCCTAGAGCAAGACGCTGGCTGCCTCCCAAGACACAGCTAAGACATGCACTTTGGTGAAAAAGCAGCTCTCAGTATTTCTGCAGACAGCGGCTTCCTAACCAGAGCACAGCTAGAGGTGACCACAAATGATTGCAAAGGGGTCTGAATACWCGATTTTTCTCAACAAGAATGCTGGTCTCCAAGGACTGGGTTTTCACCTCAAAACCATTTCTCAGCAGAAACTACAGCGATATAAGTGATCTCCTGATTCACTAACCATTTTATCCTTTCTCTGTGTTAAGTTTGGTCACGGGAATTTTGATTAAGCTTGCAGGCAAGTTCATTAAATTAGGCCACTAGAGGGAGCAGCCTTTAAAGTCCAGAGATAGTTACCCGTGATGCGTCCCCRCGAGTGGGGGTGGACCCAGGAGGGCGACCCCACAGCCTCAGAGGGGCTCTCCAGCACCGCGGCACAGAATTGCACAAGGGGAAGAGTACTATTGGTAGTGCCTCCAAATGCACTTGTTATCTGCTCTGATATTGAAAATCATCTGAATTCCACCTTTTTTTTTTTCCTTAGCAGATGTGACGTTTTTCTTCCTTTTTGCCATGTTCTTTTGACACAAGTGAAAACGGGAAAAAAAAGACAATATATAAGTTTCTTAATTACCTGGCTACTTGGTTTCAGTATGTGGTGAGTAGCTGCTTTGGTTACACGCCTGCTTCTCAGTGAGGGCAGTCACTATTAACCGTCAGTCTGGTGGCCATTAATTTTAACATAGTTGCATTTTGGTTAGACTGATTTGCATCACCTCAAAACCACACGACTTCGAGAGCTGGAGAAAGCTATCTAGAGTGACATTCCCTTTGGCATTCCTGAGGAATTAGCAGCACCTGCCTAGGCTGCAGTTTGTGCAGGGGGGTTCACCAGTGAAAGGAATTTTTGGAAAGGAGAGGGACTACGGACTCAGCAAAGCAAGAGACAGGGMGGGGCCTACATCACCTAGGAATGAATGACGTAAATTCATCATTGTGATGACAAGAGATGCTGGCATAGTGAAATATGAAGCATGAACACAGGGTCAGAGATTGCAGAAAGAAAAGGGCCTTTCTCCTCCCAGCCCAGGCAGACTTACCTCTCCTCCAGTGCAGGGGAAGGGACTCGAATATCTGGAAGTGCAAATGGCTCCTCTCTGCCTCACATCATCCTTCAGCCCAAAGGTGGCTGAACAGTTAGCAGCAAAGTATTTGTAAGGCTTCCATGTCTCGCCGAAGTCCTGGGAGCGCTCCAGCACCATGGCAGCCGGCCTGGGTGACTTGAAGACCATAATCAAGTGAGTGAAGTAGAAGGTGGCTTCCAGGTCCAGGCGGATGGTCTCGCGGGGGGCATCCTGGGCCGCCTGCCACCAGGTGCGGGGCAGGGAGAATGGAGAGTCTGCCATGGCGGCGGGGGGATGCGCCAGCCCCCTGTGGGCCCGGCTGCAGCGGCCACAYGTGGGACGCTGGCAGCGGCCCTGCGCATCCTCGCTGTAGGTGCAGAAGGCCTCGGYGGCATGGCGGCCACACGACGTCTCGGTGCGCAGCGCCCGCCCGTGTGCCAGGTTGCCCATCCGGGGGTTGCAGGCCTTCTCGCAGGGACTGCTCGCTCTCGCCATGCCACCCACACCTGCGGGGCACAGAGCGGGGGACTGCAGGCGGCTCCTGAGGTGGGAGCTCCCCACGCCCTCAGAGCAGACTGCAGTGGCTGCTGCCCTCGCCAAAACCATGTGCCACTTGTACCCGCTGAGCCCTGGAGAGGCTGTGGGACAGTGGGGCACTGYTGCTCAGCTCTCCCCTATGTGGAGCTCAGCGTGTCTAGAAAACCAAAAAACCACCTGAAAACTCTTTAGGGTTTCCCTGCACTTGGGAAAATCCGTACCAAGAGGTGCAGAGCAGGCAGGAGCAGAAATGAGTATACCCTACCCTCCCATCCCAAGGGACCAGAGCAGGGCTGAGGCTTCAGAGCCATGCCACCCACACCCCGAGGCCTCCAAGGGGATCCAGGTGCCCTGGGGAATTGGAGAAAAGCAGAAGAAAGACAGGCTGCCACCAAGGCCACATGCCAGGAGGTGGCCATGGGAGACAGCATTGCTGCAACCCATCTCACCATGCAGCACATCAGGTGTCGGGGGTATGAGAGCTGACACAAATATCACCTGCCAGCAATGACTTCAAGTCTTCACCCCCTTTCCCACCCCTCCATCCCTACCCCAAAATCTTCCCACAATCAGAAAGTGCTGCTGACATCAGTGTTTAATTGTAGCATTGCTTAAGTTTGGAAAGGCTGTTGCTGGTGTGTGTAAAGGGGGAAAAAAAAGATAAAGTTTTGGTTGAAATTATGCTGGCAAGCTGCCGCACAGCTGAGACTCTGTGGTTTTTGTTCAAGCTTTTCTGGAAGTCCTGTCAGTTTTAAAATCCACAGTTAGTGTAAGAGAAAAATAAAATCGCCGTGGGGTTTACTGTGAAACCATGTAACTCTCACATGTAATCAATGGAACTTTTGCTCCAGGAATGTTTGATTAGGGGCTCTCCAACTTTTTTTTAATAAATGCAAGAGTAGGTCAAGGCAGTATTTGGTGAATTGTTTAACATAAAAAAAAGTTCTGATGACTTGGATGCATGCAGGTCAAAGCATCTGAGGTGCATAATGTCTTCTTTATCACCAGGCCAGGCATACACAGTCAGCTTTGTGCACCAATTAATGTATTCTTCTTAGCATTTTTGTTATGTCTGAAGGTCATTTCAGTTTAGCATCCAGTAAGTCTTTTATCTGGGGCTTATTCAGCTTTTGCCTACAGTGTCATTTTTGCAATTAAGCTATATTATACACCAGCAGTGCTAAGCCTTCCAAGCCTAACAGCATTCCTCGCTTCTGCTCCTCAAGAAACACCCTGCATAAAAAMCCATTTCTAACACCAAAGCTCTATGCAGATTTTCTGTAGCATTTCATCAGAACAGTTGTGGACCACTGCTTGCTATGCACCCTGTATATGGCACTTCCAAATCCAGTCTTGGATTTTACTGGTAAGCAGTCTTGGGAAATTTTTAGTGAACAAGAAATGCTTGGTGAAGTTAGCTTCCTACAGTGTGCTGTAACGCTGTGGTGGAGATGACCTATAGWAACTGTGCAGAATATGTTTGCTCTAGAAAAGTAAACAAATAGAACTGTAAGGTTGATGTAATATCACTTACAACTCCCGAACATCCTTTTCAAAGTGTTGTATAAACATTAACCTATGTAGCTGTCCTGAGGGGTAGGTAAGTTAAGTGCTATTATCATATTATCAGTTAGGCTAGCCAGTAGTTGGCCTAATTTATGTCTTTGGCTGCTTTCCTGGATTCTTTGGCTATGTGTAACATAGTGCAGTTGGCTGCTAAACAAATAGATTAACATTTACTGTGGTTCCCTCAGATGTTGCAAAGCAGATTTGGGAAGTGGCAGGAAGAGCAGGGTTCAGTCAGCACCATCAGACAGGTTGAGATTACTGTTTGTGTTTATCAAGTCCTTTTGATTTTTGCACACCACACTGCTGCCTCCAGGAATGCAGTGGAGGAGGACCTGGTCAATGGGAGGTTTCCCCGTGACTGCAGTTGGTAGGGCAGGCGTAGCTGGCCCCAGGGCAGGGACAAGGCTCTGCCTGAGCCCAGCTGGGAGGGGCGGGTTACCAAATCCCATGGGAGACCCTGGGAGCTGAGAGCATATGATTGCTCCCAGCTCAGGCTATGCTCCAGTCCTGGTCATGCAGGGTCACTTAGTACAGTTGTCTTTGAGCCAGGCAGCAAGGGTCCCTTCCTCACCGGGGTCAGATGTGGGGCAAGGGACCTTGGCTTGAGTAGGATTTGAGAAATGCTGCTGGCACATAGATGTGGGTCTCAGGGGCAGAAAGGGGGGAGAGGAAACCCCCTTTGAAAGGGTGTTTGTTTTCACTTGAATTGGAAAAGAGTTGCATGACCGATGCAGAGCACTTCATGCTATGAAAAGTGACAGCTTTCTAATGTAACACTGGCTGCCACAGGAATTCAGTAAAAGGACAAACTGAGAGCATAGATTTCAATGCTGGCAGTCACAGCCTCATGACTGCTCTGCCACAGCACTGGAAAAGGTGCTTTTCCTTACTCGCACTTGATGCCTCTGCCCAACTAAACCTTCCCATTCTATGTACTGTACATGCCACCAGACGGGGATCTTCAGTAATGAGTAAGAGCATGCACAAACACCATGACTCACCTGGAAAAACATCCATGGAAAATCATATGCTTCCTGTTTAAGCATTTTAGCAACACATGCCTTRTGATGTTTCGTTTATATCTTGTGCCTGATTAAATGTTTGTTTCCCATGAGGATTTTTTTCTTCTTTTTTAMAAAGAAATTTGGCACTCGGCTTGCACCCGGCCGAGGAAGTGTTACGCAAACTGTTTATGCCCGAGCGTCTCTGCTGCGGGACCCCGCTGCGGGCTGCTCTGAGCGCGAAGTGTTTATGCTGCGGGAAGGGGCTTTGAAAACCCTGCCCGCCCTCCTCCGCACCCCGACGACTCGGGGCACCGCCGCCCAAAGCGCCCGCGGACCCCGCAGCGCCCCGCCGCTGCCACCCGCAGCGCTCCGCAGCCAGGCCTCGCTCCCGCGACATCACCCGAAGCCGCGGCCCGAGCCCACCCGGCTCCGCCGCCCCGCCGGAGGCTCCGCGGGCAGGGACGGCCAGCGCTGTGCGGCGTAGCCGGACCCCTCTTTGTCTGCGGCGCGGGGCGTGGGGGAGGACGCGCATCCCGGCCCCTGCCTTTCCAGAGCCCTCCGCGCACACCGCGCACCGACACGCACCGCATGTGCGGACACACTCGCACGCAGCCCGTGCGCACATATATGCGTATGTACACGCGTATGCGCGTGTGTGCGGACACGTGCGTACAGAGACAGACGCGTGTGTGCACGGTGCGCAAACGCCCGTGCGATACTCGGTGCGTGCGCACGCCCGGGCAGCCCCGCACACACSGGCGCGGACACTCCGGCACACGCGCGTAAGCGCACCCGCACACACGGCGCGTATCTACCTCGCACGCCCGCGGAGGACGGAGAACGCCGAGCGCGGCCGGTCACGACCCACCTGCAGCGGCGGCGGCGGCGCCCAGCAGCAG